AAAATTCTTCTGTTTGTTTATAAGGCATTGTCTGGTTGTGCACCAAGTTATATCTCTGAACTTCTTGTGCCATATTGTCCTGCTAGGGCACTTACAGTATCTCACAGAAGTGAGTACACCCCTCACATTTTTGTAAATATTTTATTTCCAATCGACCCCCTGCTGGACTCCTTCAGCCGCTGTCAGTCCCTTCGAGACCCTGGTCCCACATTTCGCTCGATTTTGTTACAGCGCTCCCCCCACTCAGGGCAACACGGTGGTTCTGACCGTAGTGGACCGGTTCTCGAAGGCGGCCCATTTCATTCCTCTGCCTAAATTACCCTCTGCCAGAGAGACAACGACTGCTGTCATTGATCGCGTTTTTCGCATTCATGGCCTCTCTCCTCTTAGAGAGAGTTTTGTAAGCTGCTCGGGGCGAGTGTTGGTCTTTTCTCTGGTTTTCACCCTCCGAGCAACGGTCAGACAGAGAAGGCCAATCAAGATTTGGAGCGGGTGTTGTGATGTTTGGTCTCTCAGAACCTGTCCTCCTGGAGCCAGCAACTTTCATGGGTGGAGTATGCACACAACTCATTACCAGTATTAAGGGTGTTTTTTTAAATGACTAAAACACAGCTAAACATATTTTATCCTTGTGGTTCATAACTGGACTTTGAAGTGTATTAACTGTAATCTACAGCACAACAAAGTAGGGCATTGCAATAAACACAATTAAACATAACATAAAACATTACCATTTAGCCAACTTACCCATGGTAGAACCCCAAAAATCAAGAAAAACCACGTCGGACAGGCAAATCATGTGGTCTCGCAAATTCAGATGCTTCGCTTCTGAAACGCTTCTGGTGTGAGTTGGCGCCATGTGGAGGATGGAAGTAAACCTTGTTGGAGCCGTAATGCGTCGCAGACGTGTGAGGTGTTAATGAGGGACTATAAGGGCTTTGATAACTTTCAGCTTGAGAGTATTTTGGACATTTCCTAAAGAAGCAAAGAGTTAAGAATATTGAAGAGATTTTAGGGTGACCATATATGTCCCAGATGCGTCCTGGCCAGGATTTCTATATTGCCTAAAATATCTAGATTTTGGCTTTATTTGCATGTGCAGACTGATCGGTGTATGACATCAAAGTACCATACAGACAGTTCCTTATGCTTTCAAAACGCTCTCGAGGTACTTTTGATGTCAAACACTGATTGGTCTGAGCCGCGCCGCTTTAAGCTGAACACACCTAGTATGTACTCGTATTTGCATCGCTTTGACCGTAGATCCCACCTTCTCACACACCATGATTGGTCCATTATGTACAATGCCTGCATGTTATTGATCAAACTACTTTTCGATCATTACCTTCAGCAAGTATGAAAACAGGAAAACAAAGCCAAAACAAATCCTGGCAAGGATGTGTTCGGGAAAAATGGCACTTATGCTCACCCTAAGAGGTTTTGAGATTACAGGTTACATCTGTTTTAAGTTGTTTGTTGTGTATAGGATCTAGCATACTTGTTGGAATTGATGTCTGTTGATGTCCCGTCTGTTGTTTGTGTCAATAAACTGGTGTTAACTTGTTCTTGTTTCTGTTCACCCTAGACCTGATGGCGCTGAAAGAAGAGAGTCACGAGCTGAATAAAATGGAAGAGAAAGATCAGTATGAGAAATGTCATGATTTCATGGTTGGGGTGAAATCTTTTAGTTACTCAAAGACTCATAAAACAGAAACTAGAAACTTTGAAGTCCAGATGAAAGTTCACACAGGAGAGAGCCCTTTCACCTGCCAACACTGTGGGAAGGGTTTCTCACTAAAAAGAAATCTTAACATTCACATGAAAATCCATGCTGGAGAGAAGGCTTTCATATGCTCTCCGCGTGGAAAGAGATTTACACAGAAAAATACCCTTAATGCCCACATGAGAGTTCACACTGGAGAGAAGCCTTACACCTGCAAACTGTGTGTGAAGAGCTTCACGCGAAAAGAAAATCTTAAAATTCACATGAGAAAACACAACGGAGAGAAGCCTTACACCTGCAAACTGTGTGGGAAGAGCTTCACACGAAAAGAAACTCTTAAAATTCACATGAGAGTTCACACCGGAGAGAAGCCTTACACCTGCAAAATGTGTGGGAAAAGCTTCACGCAAAAAGAAAATCTTGAAATTCACATGAGAATTCACACCGGAGAGAAGCCTTTCACCTGCAAACTGTGTGAGAAAAGCTTCACACGAAAAGAAAATCTTAAAATTCACATGAGAGTTCACACTGGAGAGAAGCCATTCATATGCTGTCACTGTGGAAAGCGTTTTAATCAGAAAAAGTACCTTAATGCCCACATGACAATTCACACTGGAGAGAAGCCGTTTGTTTGTGATCAGTGTGAAAAGAGTTTCATATATAAAGCACACCTTGATCTTCACATGAGGATTCACTCAGGAGAGAACTGTTTTATATGTCACCAGTGTGGAAAGAGTTTCTCACAGAGAGCAAACTTTGAGAATCACATGAGAGTTCACACTGGAGAGAAGCCTTTCACCTGCCAAGAGTGTGGAAAGAGCTTCACGGTTAAAGGAAACCTTAAGATTCACATGAGAGTTCACACTGGAGAGAAGCCTTACAAGTGTGTTCAGTGTGAAAAGAGTTTCTCATATCACACAAACCTGAAACGGCATGAAACGAAAGCTCATTCTGGAAAGAAAATCCAAACCTTGCCACACTGATGAAAATGGCAATTTCAACAATCATCTGCGCATTCACTCTGAAGAAAGACAATTAAATTGTGATCAGTCTAATTAAAACATCACACAGATAAAAATGTAAAAGTTGTGTAAATGTGAGACCCTGATTGTGTTCTTTGTTAAAACCAATTTGGACAGGATTAGTTTTACATGGAGTGGTGGGATAGAGTAAATATAACCAGAGCTTCTAGATTTTAGTCCCATCTGAATGTGCCATCTCAGTAATCATTATGGATAATATCAGTAAATATTAAGGTGACTTTTACCTTCAGTAAAAAGGAAAATTACCTCAGGTAATGCTATTCGCGTGCGAATAGACTAGCTGTAAATATTGTGGAAATGTTACATCATTTCTTGTTTAATTCTGTCACATGGTTTTGGGTTATGTTTCATGTTTATATTTTCATATCTTTTATTTTGTATTTCTCGCTGTCATGCTTCCTATTTGTCATGTGCTTTCCCTTGCTCCTCGTGTTATTCTGCCATATGCACCCCTTGTGATTGGGTCATATCCTGATATGTTCTAGTCATGTGTTTTATGTTCTAATTGGTTCTTTGACTGATTGAGTTGACGTTTGTTACAGAAAGCTAGACCGTTAAAAATGAACCCAGCAGTGCAGCTCATGCAGCTCTCTTATACCCCTTTTCCACCAGCATGAACCGGGTGCTAGTTCAGAGCCAGTGCTATTGCTGGTTCGGAGTTGGTTCGACTGGCGAGCCTTCTACGAACCGGTGTACCTTTCCACTGGCTAGAGAGCCACCACAGAGCCAGGTCTTACGGCATCTGAATACGTCTCATTTCCCCTTAGCAACGGTAGCGCGGCAGCGCCAAACACAACGGGCTTGTTCAGGATGCATCGGCACCGGGCGGACCGATCGGCACGCGATACTGAAGCGCCGCGGGAATGATACAAAAGCATAAAGAGCCGTCTGTCTTCCATTTTGTTGGTCACGGTAACCCCGCCCCCAGACCCTGACACAAGCAGTTCTTACTTCTAGCCCAATGTTTTGGTGCTACTTACGAACCACTTTTCCTGGTTCGGAGCTGGTGCTTTGGGTGTCGAAAGACAAAGAACCGATTTGAAACTTGGCTCGAGCGCCGAACCAGCACCCAAACTGCATTGGTGGAAAAGGGGTATCAGAGAGATCGATCACTGGAGAGTTATGTGGAGGAGCTTTGCAGAATTTGCTGTCAGGTGGACCCTCAAGGTCCACTTTTTAGCAATGGACTTACTGACCACTGGAACTATTTAATGCCTGAGACCACTGTTGCATGGACTCTGGGCCATAAAAATGGGCTTTGCCCACTTACTAAGCAGTTCCTCATTTACTGTGGGAAATGCAGATGAGGTACCGCAATCCTGCAGTACCCACCATGCCAGAGCCTGTTAACGTCATGTCTGCCAAACCAGAGACTTCAGCCAGCAGAGCAGCCTCCGAGGCCTTGGCCCCAGCCCCCGCCCCGGCCTCTATGGCTGGAGCCCTATAATGCCCCTCAAAAAAATACTTGGGGAGAATTACGGGCATCTTGGCTAAAACGGGGTCATGAGGGCGCTCTGGAGGAGCGGGCTATGGAGGGCACTTTCGAGGAGCGGGCTCTGGAGGGCGCTTTCAAGGAGCAGGCTCTAGAGGCGCGGGCACAGGAGTGTACTCTGGAGGGGATTCAGGGACTGGAGCCCTCCTTGGGCTAAACACGGGGACAGGAGCCCTCACTGGGTTAAACTCGGGGGCAGGAGCCCTCACTGGGCCAAACTTGGGGGCAGGAGCCCTCTTCGGGCTGGATTCGGGGGCTGGAGCCCACACTGGAGTGAGCCCTGGGGCTGGAACAGACACTCGAAGCTTATCTTTTCTCCACCTCTTTCTCCTGGCAGAGGTTATGGGGACAATAGGCTCAGGAATGGGCTCCGAATCGAAAACTGGAACAGGTTCAGGAACCCTACTCATGGGGGATTCAAGGGCTGGAGCCCACACTGGGCCAAACTTGGGGGCAGGAGCCCTCTTCGGGCTGGATTCGGGGGCTGGAGCCCACACTGGAGTGAGCCCTGGGGCTGGAACAGACACTCGAAGCTTATCTTTTCTCCACCTCTTTCTCCTGGCAGAGGTTATGGGGACAATAGGCTCAGGAATGGGCTCCGAATCGAAAACTGGAACAGGTTCAGGAACCCTACTCATGGGAGCGGACTTGGGAAGTGCTTCCTGTACTGTAAACGGTGATCCACACAACCTCAGAATACCATCAATATATTCTTGAAAAGAACCTGGAGTAGCACCTGCTGGAACCTGTTGACACAGGCGATCATCTAGGCCGCACCAGAAAACGGTCTTTAGAGTGTCATCGTTCCAGGGCAGTTGATGTGAGAGCTCGAGGAACTCCTCTAAATAGTCCTCAATCGGGCAAAATTATTGTGTTGCTTTCAGAAAAAACAAGTCAAAATTAAGTGAGTTTTGGCTTGAAACAAGCAAAATAATTTTGCTTGTTCTAAGGAAAAACTCACTTAATTTCTGACTTGTTTTTTTCTGAAAACAAGACAATAATCTTTACTTCTAGAAAATACTTTTGATTTAAGAATTTTTAGATATTTTGGCTGGAAACAAGACAAAAAATCTAAGTAAGAAAAGCATTTTTTGCAGTGATTATTACAATATAATAGCAAAAAATGTTGGGCCAAATTGTGCAGCCCTACAAAGAAGTGTAACCCCTCTCGCCCGGGTCCTCACCGCCACACCTCATTCTTGCTCCGAGTGGGTCTCCGGTATGGGAGGCGGACGCACTAATGAGGAGGCTAAAGACTGCAGCCACTAGCGTCAGTCGCTAGTGCGTCTCTTGAGATCAGGGGAGTGAGGTTTACCTGCACAGCACCTACTCGCTGGCCTCCGTTACACTCACCCCCCCTAACCCTCACTCCCATCCGGGTCACGGCACCAATGTAACCCCTCTCCCCCGGGTCCGCTCCGCCACACCTCGTTCTCGCTCCGAGTGGGTCTCGAACCCGGGTCTCC